GTCCCCACCCACCGCCTGGGGTGATTGCTTCTTCCCCTTCTGTGGAGATGGTGCTGTGAGTTCCCATACCTGGAAACCAAGGAGGAGTCTCAGTGACTATACACTGCCATCATCCATTCATGTGGTGGTTAGCAAGATGTTTCTGAGGAAGTAGGAGTTTGGGGACTATGGAAAGGAGGGGCAGGGGCATGGTCTAACAGGACCTGAGGCTTTCAGCCAGGGGGGCAAGCTGGATACCCATCTTTCTTTCTTTCTTTTTTTTGTTTATTTAGCCAGGGTCTTGCTATGTAATCTAGGCTGGCCTTGACCTCACTGTGTAGCCCCAGGTTGGTCTCCAAGCAGCAACCTTCTTGCCTCAGCCTCCTGAATTCTGGGATTACATGCATGCACCATCATACCCAGCTCCTGTTTTCCTAAAGGCACTGGGTCTCTAGTTATTGCATGTCTCATATTGAACATGGAAGGCAAAGGACCAGTGGACCAAACTCTTCATATCATCTGCCATTCCCCTTTGTAATATTTATTGTTGTGTAAGCAATTTATGTCAAAAAGGAAGAAAAAGATTGCCTGAAATATTGCTGTCCAAGAGCATGTCAATACATATTTGCTCCAGACTTTATTTTCAAGCCTTCGGCAGAGCACTGTGGTCCTGACAAGTTCTGGCAGGAAGGCTGGAGATAAGGCTCCTCCTCCCGAGGGACTGTGTGTGCACCCAGCTTCATTTCCCTTTGGCTGCCCCTGCCTTGCCTGGTCCTAATGGCAGTCTTGCCTGCTGCACTTTGCACAGTGGGGTGAAGACTGGGGCACTTCTGCAGGTGTGGGGGTGTCTGTATGAAGAGGGGTGAACACATGCTGCAGGGTGGTCCTGGGCAGTAGTAGGCACTCACTGTGGTTTCCTGTTCCTCAGGCATGGGCTGTAGAGACAGGAAAGTACCAGGAAGGGGTGGATGACCCTGATCCAGCTAAATGGAAGGCTCAGCTCCGCTGTGCTCTCAACAAGAGCAGGGAATTCAACCTGATGTATGATGGCACCAAGGAGGTGCCCATGAACCCAGTGAAGATTTACCAAGTGTGCGACATCCCCCAGCCCCAGGGCTCTATCATTAACCCAGGTGAGGCCTCAGCATGGGAAGAGGGCGGGCCATATGCCAGATGCTGGGCTGGGCACTTAAAGAGACAGTAACATTAAAAACAGCCTGTGTTTCAAAGTTCAAGACTGGTGAAATCAGAAAGCTTTGCCTAGTACCCAGAGAGTACGTGATGTGGA